TTTCTTTGCATGTGGTTAATACTAAAGCATCATCATCAGGAGAGAGAACATTCTAGAAGATTGGGTCTAACTACTTCTAATCCTATTCATATACAAAAAATACTAATGGAATCTGTAGCATTCTTCTAGACAGAGCACCCATGTATCCTGTGTATGCAACAAAAAATTATCATATACCAGAATAAATACAATGAGAATATGGTTCATGTAGCACTCTAGATACATATAAAGGGACAACATACTTTTAGGCTGGCGATGAGGGAAAGTAGCATGATACATTAAAGGATATGATATACCAGAATAAATACAATGAGAATATGGTTCATGTAGCACTCTAGATACATATAAAGGGACAACATACTTTTAGGCTGGCCATTATTTCAAAATATTTACCTAGAATCTCAATAATGCTATTAGTTATTCCTGATAAATCATCTACGTCATGCTCTGTTCTAAATACCTTATACAATCACGTCTTCACAATGAAAGGAAATGTTGACAATGTACACAGTGTCAAGACAAGAGTAAGTAAACAAAAATAAAAATGATCAATAATCAAATCCTACTTAATATCAAAACAAGTTGTTATTACATGAACATTACTATTATCTAGTAGACATGTTACGTTACCAATAAACATACACAACAGTGAATGACAAATCACACCAATGATAATAATACTGGGCGAGCAGCTGAAATGCAGACAGGTTAAAGGTATTGATTAACACACTACAAACGAACTATACAGGAGTGATTAACCCCAAATTCACGTGAATGCTATTCTAAAATGCGACTTTAAAAAATGTTTTATCTACAAAATGCAAAACTAGATCTAAATGACAACTATTAGGAATGTAGAAGAAAATATTACGATTGATACATCAGCTACGTTTCAAGAATATATATCTAATCACACATAGAGTACTTAAAACTATCAAAACAAAGATGACACTCTCTATTTTCTTGCATCTGCAATTATATGGTTGTATATAGAGAAGCGGTATTGTCAAAACACAAGTGTAAAAGTAAATTTAAAACAGTCAGCGGCCTTCACAAACATGTAAAGGAAAATAATTTTCCCGCTTTATCACATCATTCAATACTTTCTTTCTTTTAAAAACAATTGAAAGTAATATTATGCAAGACACTTCCTAGACTAGAAATAAAATAAACTTGGATAAGAGAAAGAGAGAGAAAGACTCACCTTGGCGGCCTCCAATGTTTTTGTTTACACGTTAGAATTCCTGACATAAAAATCGATCTTGGTAAATTATTATTGCCCAATTTAACAAGATGTAAAAGAGTTTCACTTTATGATATCATTTTCCATACAATAAAGGATTCTTTTTCAAAATATTTAGATTTACTAGAATAATAAACACAGCAAAATTCTGTTTGTTTATACAATAAGATTATGTCTGTGGAAATATATTTTGGTAAATTAGTATGAGCTTTATTAGACAATTATTATGAGAGGAATTAATAACATATGCTACACTATAAGAGATACATATTGCAATATTAATTAGCATAAAAGATCACTTCATACCCGAGTAATTATTCACTACAGTAAAATAATCCCATCACAAATTTTCCTTGCTTCTCTCTTGCATAATCACTCTCTTGTCCATCAAAATTCACCCCTCCAAGTTTATCACACTATCCATGCCACTCTTTATATGATAAAACATTAAAACCAATTAAAGTAAACACAATTTCATCATAGCAGTAAGTAACGGCCGTAAATCGAGGTCGCAGGAGCCTTCAGAGAATTAAAAGGCAGATCTCGAACACGAGAGACAATTTCTCTCAAAGTCTCCTTAATTACGGTCTGTTGGAGGGAACAAGTCCGTGTGGATGCTTAGATGCCTTCGTGAGAGTGAGTAAGAGGCGATTTCGTGACTGAGGTCTGATGAGAACTGTCAAGCAATTTTTTTTTTTTTTATTATTTTTTTTTCTTCGTTTAGGGAATTTGACAGTTTTATTTCTGTCATTATTCGTACATTTTGAATATTATCCTGTCCGTTCGGTCTTGTTTCCGATGTTCAGTTGGTGTGAGGGTAATTTTATTTATGTGAGGTATAATTATTATTCGACCGGCAGCCGGTGTGGATCCTTACACATTATTTATTATTTTAAAATGCTAATCATGATATTAACAATACGAAGGATAATGAAACAAGACAGCTTATTTTGTAACATATAGGCTTTGACATTTTATACAAATAACATTTATATGCATTTTACTGAATGATGTAGATGTAAACAGCTGGTAATTTTCAAATATCCATCATTTTGACACTTTTTCAAAAAAAGTTGGATAATACTGTCGAACCCAAGGGACCCACAGGATGACACACTAACCTCAGCAGCCGCTATAGGTCCAAGTGTGCACGTGGCGGCGAGCACTCCCGTTTTCCCTTTCAGTTCACTGTCAGGCTCACAGAAATACATTTCACTTTGCCTAGGGGTTTATTAATGTACTAGAAATGAAGGCGCATCAAGGGGCGATGGAACACAGAGTGAAATAACAGTCAGTCGTTCTGCAGGCGGGGAAACGAGGAGGGGTCACAAGACTCCCAGGAGATCTAAACTTTGCAGGACAAGACACCCCCTTTACGCCAAAACTCCCGTAAAACACAATCGTTCAAGTGCTTAACCACATTACAGTACATTGGAAAATATTTACTAGACATGACTGGCATGTCCATGTTATTGCCTTAGCAGATTACTTGCGATAAGTGCTATGTGGAAAATTCTCTGTCTCTCTCTCTCTCTCTCTCTCTCTCTCTCTCTCCTCCCCTTCCTCCTCTCTCGCCGGCTCTCTTCTCCTCTCGTCCTCTTCATCTCGTCTCTCGTTCCTCTCCTCACCCTCCTCATCTCTCGGTAGCGTCACGTCTCTCTCTTCGGGCTTCACGTCCGGCCACCTTCTCTACTCATTCTTCACATCTTTCTCCTGCCCACTCGGTCCTCTCACGGTTTCTCCTATCTCTCTGGGTACAACTCTTCCTCTCTCTCTCACGTCTCTCCTCTCTGACTCTCCTCTCTCTCCCACTCTCTATTAGGCGCTTCTTCTTTTCATCTTTCTCATCTGCTATCTCCCTCTCTTTTCTATTCATGTCAGGATTCTTCTGGCTTCTCCGCGAATCGAGAGCTTCATTCTATAATCCCTTTGATCCATTTACCCTGCTATAAAGAGTGCCCCCTGGATGGTTTAGGAGACCACTCACTCTCTTATCCCTCTCAGCTCACTATTATCTCTTCGTAGTCTCCTACGCGAGTGGCTCTACTCAGTCTATCATATGATGATCAAGACCGCACCCGAATTCGTCTCCTCTCTCTCTCCGACTCTCTCTCTCTGTCACTCTCTCACAATTAAACACCGGTGCTCGTCTCTCGATCCCCATCTTACTTGTCTCTGCGTCGCATAGTTAGCCTCTCTTCTCACCATGTCAGACCACTCTAATCTCTAGCAGCAAATGGGTGCTCTGCTCTCTCAATTCTTCTCACTCGCTGGTCTCTCCTCGTCACTCTCTCTCTCAACTGTCCTCTCTCTCACTAACTCATTAATGGGCTCACATCCCTCACGTCTGACTTGGGGCTATAGACTTCGTCAGATGGCTCGAGGCCTCCAGGGACAGAACTGTGCATACTCCTCTCCACTACTCCATCCGCTCGCTCCTCTCTCTCGTCTGTCGTCCTCTGCATTCTCTCCCTCCTTGCCTTCTCGGGTGCGTCTCTCGTCTAGTCTCTCTCTCTCTCGGTCTCGTCTCTCCGTCTCGTCTCTCTCTCTCTCTCTCTCTCTCGGTTCTGTGTGTGTGTGGTTGTGTGTGTGTTTGTGTGTGTGTGTGTGTGTTTGTGTGTGTGTGTGTGTGGGTGTGTGTGTGTGTGGTGTGGTGTGTGTGTATTGGGTGTGTGTGTGGTGTGGTGTGTGTGTGTGTGTGTGTGTGGTGGTGTGGGTGGTTGGGTGTGTGTGTGTATGTGTGTGGTGTGTTTGTGTGTGAGTGAGTGTGTGCTATGATCTAATGTCTATGTTAATGAGTGATGTTGTGTGTGTGTGTGTGTACAAGTTTGTGTGTAGGATGTATATTATAAATAACTATTGTTTTTCTTAATGTATGATTTAAGTAATATGTGTATTATATATGTGTTGTGTAAATAATGTTAAGCTCATATTATATAATAAGTCATTATATATTATCTAATATATATATATATAATATATAAATAACTATATACTATAAATATATTATATGTAATATATATGTATATATTACTAGATATATAGATTTATATATACTATATTATCTTATGTATGTAATGTAAAGTATTAATGTATAAGACATGTATTATATATATATATATACCTTAGATATTATATTATTAAATGTATATTAATAATATTAATATTCTATTATATTTGTTAATATTTGTATTTTCTGCCTTATATGATATTTTAGGTGTAACTAGTCTTGGTTCAATGCTTATAAAATATTTATTATAATAGTTAATTAATATATTACTACCATATATGATCACATATATTGTTATGATATTATTCATAATATTGATATAATATGAGGTATCTTCCCTAGTATATTTAGTATATACAATATAATATATATATGTAGGTAGTATATAAATAGCATTATATATATTGATTTATATACTATACAGTGTAATGGTAATACGTTGTTTATTGGACGTATATATATTATTTATATATTTATATATGGTTATTATATATATGTAGAGAGTATATTATATTATACATAATATAGAATAGTTAATTATATTATTATTATAGTTAGCTTTACTTTTGATATAATTATAGTTTATCATATATTATTATGTACTTATAAACATATATTGGGTTCACTTATCTTCTATACTCATCCATTATGTATATATTAGTGTGATATACTATAGTGGTATTTCCTTCTTAGATTATATTATTAAATTATTTTGGCGTTATATGATATGGTGTAACTATTAGTAAC